AGCAAAGCGACCATGAAGCTGCGATGTACAGGCGAGGAACAAGGGAGGAGCTGCTGCTGATCGGTGTCTATGTTGACGATTTGATCATCACCGGTGCCAGCACTCAAGCCATAGAAGGTTTCAAGGCTCAGATGAAGAAGGTCTTCGACATGAGCGACCTCGGCCTCCTGTCCTTCTACCTAGGGGTCGAAGTACACCAAGATTCAGCTGGAATCACTCTGAGGCAAACCCATTATGCCAAGAGGATCCTTGAGCTAGGAGGAATGGATGCCTGCAACCCTGCCCATACACCAATGGAGGAGCGGCTGAGGTTGAGCAGGCAGAGCACGGCTGCAGAAGTTGATCCTACCCAATACAGAAGATTGGTGGGCAGCCTGCGCTACTTGGTCCACACAAGACCTGACTTAGCCTTCTCAGTAGGCTTTGTCAGTCGATTCATGGAGAGGCCGACTGCAGAGCACCAAGCTGCCATCAAGCGCATCCTGAGATATGTGGCTGGTACTCTGGAGTTTGGCCTTCACTACACTGAGGCTCCAGGGAGAGCAAGGTTTGTTGGGTATGCTATGAAAGTGACTTGGCTAGGGACATTGACACCAGCAAGAGCACTAGTGGCACTCGATCTTTCGGGAAGCAATCTTGTGTCTTTGGCGGTCGGTGAAGCGAAGGTGGTGGCTCTATCTAGTTGTGAAGTTGAGTACATTGCCACTACCACACAGCTGCAACACAAGCTATTTGGCTATCCAGTCTTTGGCAGACCTTCTTGGAAGGAATGTGGAAGTGGTCGAACTGAAGGTTGATAGCAAGTCTGCGCACTTGCTCTAGCCAAGAATCCAGTCTTTCATGAGCGCAGATAAACACATCGTAATCAAGTACCATTTCATCGTAAAGCGCTTGGAAGATGGAAGTATCAGGGTGATCACATATCCACCTTCGATCAATTTGGGTGACATTCTAACCAAGTCTCTTGGAAGATCAAAATTTGAAGAGATGAGGGGAAGAATTGGGCTCAAGCACATCACTTCCAAGGACCACAAGGCTAAAGGGGAGAACTGCCAGTAGTTAGCCTAGTGTTCTTGTTTTCTTGTTTTCCAGTTACCTACTATAGCTTTTTACTATTCACTGTCATGTGTTTTTTTTTCTGTTTTCTTGGCAACCAAGTTGATCATGGTGCCTTGGCAACCAAGTAGGAATCATAGCATCTGCTTTATGCAGTTAGAATATGCTAAGGAGTAGGTACACCACTTGCTTATATATGCAGTGGTTAGCATCTTTTGTATCAAGTTATTATTTTGCAATTCAATACAATCCAAGCGGCTTGCTGGCCAAGCTGCCCTCTGGCAGCCCAATTCGCCAACAAAGACGGCGCGAGTTCATGTTATGCACGGATTTTAAAGCGTTCGAGACGTCTAAACCGTTGATCCAATCCCCAAACCAATTTGGCTATACCTTAGAGGGTATATTAGGCTACTAAAACAAGCCATAATACTACCCTACTCCTTAACCCAATTTCTCTACAAAAATTGCTAAACATCACAATGCCTAACCTTCCAAAAGTTCATGAAATTTTCTTGGTGTTAAATGGATTTCTATTTCTAGTTGCACTTTTAAGCTATTGAATATAGTACTTAACAACATTATCTCTCAACACCAAGTATTTCATTGTCATCTATAAATCTCACATTTTAAACTTTATTAAGGTGTCACATATATGTTTTATAGCGTTTTTGTTCAATAAAAATTAGTTAACATCCCTACTTGCTAACTTTATAAATCGTGAATTAACTTTTCGTTTTACATCTTCACGACTCGTTTAAGTTACAATGCTTTACCTATTCATCACACCACATGCAATATCACTTAAGTATGATGTTCATGACATGTTTTAGCAAGTGATTCACTGTGTAACACCGAGGGTGTTACACATCTCTCACCAAAGCCTTTTGCCTGTAATATCTGAATTATAGCTTCATGCTCCACCTTGTCAAATGCCTTCTCAAAGTCCAGATTTAGAATGATCAAGGCATTTCTAGATTTGTGGCACAAGTGAATGTATTCCAATGCCCAGGCTAGACAATCTTGAATGGTTCTAGTTTTGATGAACCCATATTGATTTTTGTGAATTAAACCCTTGATCACCTTCTGCAGCCTATTTGCCAGAAGTTTTGTAAACAACTTGATGGAGGTGTTGAGTAATGAAATGGGCCTGTAGTCAGATGCTAAGATTGGGCCATCTTTCTTTGGGATCAGGGCTAAATGGGAGCTGTTAAGGCCTCTGAGGCATGGATTTTCTTCATAGCAGGCCTCACACAACTTGTAAAAGTCTGTGGCTATGAGAGCCCAGCAACCCTTAACAAATTCATTGTTAAATCCATTAGGGCCAGGAGATTTGTTATTTGGAAGCTCAGAGACAACCTCATCAATTTCTTGTTTAGTGAAGGGAATTTCCAGGGAACTCAGATTTACAGAAGCTGTTAAAAGGTCATTTAGGTTAAATAGCATGTGTCTAATATCAGTGGTACTCAGCCTCTCTTTGAATGTCCTGATAGTATGTTCCATGTGGAATCTTGTAAAGTGGCAATAGAGTTATTTCTATGCCTTATGGTGGCATGAGCATGAAAGTATCTTGTATTGGCATCACCTTCGTTAACCCAATTGATTTTCCCTCTTTGTTTCCAATAACTCCTTTGCTGCTTTAGAAGAGAGATCAATTTTGAGCATACCCTTTCTCTGAAGTTCCACTCAAGTAGACTAAGATCTCTAAAAGATTCAATGGTATCTAGCAGATTGAGAATCAGTTTATTGTTGCTGATTGAAGCTACTAATCCTGGAGTCTTTGAGTTCCAAGCCTTCAGAGTTTTTCTGAGATTTTTGAACTTTGCAGTCAGTCTCTTGGCTGGATCAAGAACAGACTGATGGCAATTCCAGCCTGAAGTAGGGTAGGGATGAAGTCTTCTCTTTCTAACCAGTGATTTTCAAACCTAAAAATTCTACTTTTTGGGATTGTGGTTTCAATCTCTATCACACATGGCCAGTGGTCTGATGTTTCCATCACCATTCCTTTCACTAGAGTCCCTGGATATTTTGAGGTCCAAGCATTTGAAGTAAAAAACCAATCGTCTTTCTAGCAATGGTGATAGCTGCTTGTTTGTCCATGTGAAGTGTCTTCCATGTAGAGGTAATTCTATAAGGCCCAAGGTGTTTTTTTGAGGAAAAAACTATGGGGGAGATCCCCACAGCACTTCATTTTATATTTTCAAAATTTAAGATAGTACAGACTTACATTAGGAATTAACTATATGTATCTAGCCAAAAACAAAAGGCTGATCTTAGATCATCCTTAAAGCGAAGGGATTGAAGTAGACACTGGTTCTTGAAATTATTAAACCAAATGCCGACGTGAACTTGACCATTGTTGAACACTCTATCATTTCTGATCTTCCATATCTCCCAAGCGGCGATGACTATAGCCTCCATGAAAAAAGGTACATTCTGTTGTTGCATTGTGTGCGCTATTCTTGGGTATAAACTGAGGCTCGTGTCCCATTGTATGCCTATCTTCTCCCAGCAGCTCCTGGAGAATGGACGGTCAAAGAAAAGATGATCCAGATCCTCATCTATCCCTTCTGTGCAAAGGACGCAGTGATCATCATCTTCTGTAAACAAATTCCTCCTTCTAAGCATTGTCTTAGTGTTCAATCTGTCTACTAGGACCAGCCATGCAAAAAACTTCACTCTAGGAGTACACTTGGATTTCCAGAGCCAGGTGAAGACTGGGTGTGCAGGCAGGCTCTGAAAAGCTACCTTGTAGAACTTGCTCGAGGAATATGTCGCACTACTCCATTGATATGTCCAGATATCTTTGCTATCTTCATCAAAGGCTTGTGACTGTAGGAAGACACTGAGCATTTGGAGCTCCTCAAAAGCCTCTTGTGAAATGGGCAGAGCAAAGAGGGTGTCAAGATCTTCAGCAGACATAACTTCGTTGACACTTAAGTTAGGATTTCTGGCAAAAGAGAATAGCCTAGGGAAGCGGTGTGCTAGCACATCATCCATCCAGAGGTCATCCTAGAAAGTGACCGCCGTGCCGTTACCAAGGGAACATCGAGCTATGTTTCTGAAGATAGTACTCAGTCTCTGCACATCCTTCCACCAAAACGAACCGACCTCCCTGGTTGCGTGTGGCACCTTTGTAGTTAATAAGCCCTACTTCCTAAGCAATTTCTAGATAACTATGCTAGTTAATTACAGTCATTAAAGACCTTGGGCAGCCCAAGAGGTGTGTACGGCTGCCAAGGCACCTATCTGATTAGCTATGCTCTAGTGAGCTGTTTGTAATCAATGCAATGTCTATCTCTATATATAATCAAGGAGACAGCCTGGGGTGTGTGGCTGTTCAGGCTAATCAAGTCTGTGTTACCTCCAACATTTGGTATCAGAGAGAGGTTAGACACGAGAGAGCCACGAGGCTAACTCCTCACCTTCTCCACCCCATGTCGACCCTCTCGCCGCCTGCCTTACCGCTGGGCTCAAGGCCAAGGGAACCGCGATGGAGAGTCGGGCGACTCCTCCGACCGTGCCGCTGGCTTGAAGGCTGCAGCAGAGGAAGCAAAGAAAGCAAGCAGCGGCGGCTGCTGAGAGAGGCGGCAACAAGGAGCCAGCGCATGCAGAGCTGCGGGCGAAATTGCTGGCGAGAAGGGGAAGAAGAGGATGAGAGGAGGAAGAGGAGGCGGAGAGCAGGAATCGGGGCTGCGGACTCCGTCCGCGAGACAGAGGCGCTCACTTGATCACCACCATCGGGATCGGAGGCGCGCCTTGCAGCGGCGGTCGCGCTCTGTAATCACCGACGGCAGAGTGGTGTACCGCGACTCTGGTAGCAAAGCACATCGTGGCCGATCTTTGGACAAGTCGAACTACTACGAGTGGAGTCGGACCATGAAGCCGAGGATGCAGGTAGCGCGATCTCTGGGGACGCCATCATCGAGGCGGCCTGCCCGGCCGCGATGACAACAGCAGCATCGGAGGTGATTGTCGGGGCCATGCCCAAGGAGATGGGCATCCCTCCTCGACAAGGCTACTGGCGGCGAAGGAGGCGTGGGACGCCATCGTTGCGACTCACATCGGCGTGGACCGGGTCCGTCGAACAACAACGCCGCAGCCGCTTACGCCTTGCTGGGAGAACATCGGCGTCAACCTCGGCGAGCAAGTGGAGGATTTTCGCCTGCGTCATCAACTCTGCACCAAAGTGACTTGTCATTCATGGTGACAAGGACATCACCGAGGCGTGTGGTGGAGAAGTTTCTGCAAGACGGTGCCGCCGGCATCTGTAGCAGAGATTGTTGTCGCCATTGAGCAGTTCCTCGACTTTGAGGCGCTCACTCTTGAGGAGGTATTTGGAAGGCTCAAGGCGGTGGATAATCGCGAGGAACAAGCGCTGACCGAGCCGGTGGCCATCAACGGCAAGCTGCTGTACACCGAGGAGCAGTGGAGAGCGCGCTGGAGGAAGGAGAAGAAGGGAGATGATGCCGGTGGTTCTAGATTCAGGAACCAGCACGGTGGCGGTGGACGTAGCCGCGGTGGTGGACGAGGACGAGGCAGAGGCGGTGGACGTGGTGGCGGACGAGGAGATGGCAATGTTGCTGGCCGCGTCGGCCCCAACACCTGCCTCAACTGCAACCAGGAGGGCCACTGGGCACGTGAGTGTCCCACCCGCGCCGTGAAGAGATGCAGAGCTGGCGGTGGAGGTGGAAACCGTCTTTGGCATGTGGCGGTGGCAATCGTGATGGAGGTCGTGGCGGCGGAAATCAGGCTGGGCAGCGTGGCGGGAACCAAGGAAGGCATGAGGCGCGCCAAAGACGCCGAAAGTGCGATGAAGATGGCGCCTGTTTTCGCACATGGCTTCATTAGCTCTGGAGCGAAGCACGCGTTGGCGACTGCCTACACGGCGCAAAGACGTCGAAGTTCTCCGAGCCATGTGCTCGCGCCTATCTCGGCGTGGACGAAGAAGAGGTGGACAGCGGCTGGTACCTGGACTCCGGCGCGACGCATCACATGACCGGGCGCCAAGAGTTCTTTGCTGATCTGAACACTGGCGTTCGAGGAACGGTCCGGTTCGGGGACGCGTCGAAGGTAGAGATCAAGGGCGTCGGGTCTATTGTTTTCCAAGCCAAGACCGGTGAGCAGAGGGTTCTTCATGGCGTCTACTTCATTCCGGCGCTGAAGAACTCTATCCTAAGTCTGGGACAGCTTGATGAAGGAGGGTCCAAGGTTGTGATTGACGATGGCGTGCTTCGCATTTGGGACAAGAGCCGCCGTCTGCTCGCCAAGGTACACAGAGGGAAGAATAGGTTGTATATTCTGCATCTTGAGGCTGCACAACCTCTCTGTCTCGCGGCACGCAAGGATGAAGAGGCGTGGCAGTGGCACGAGCGTTTCGGCCATCTGCACTTCGACGCACTCCGGCGACTCAGCAAGGAGGAGATGGCGCGCGGGATGCCGGTGGTTGACCATGTTGAGCAGGTGTGTGACACCTGCGTTACCACCAAGCAGAGGCGGCGTTCTTTTCCGGCTGCAGCAGCATACCGTGCCCAGAATCAGCTTGAGCTGGTGCACGGTGACCTGTGCGGTCCGGTCACGCCAGCGACACCGGCGGGCAACCGTTATATCTTGCTGCTCGTCGATGACGCCACCCGCTTTATGTGGGCTGTGTTGCTGCCATCCAAGGACGCAGCAGCAGAAGCAATTAAGAAGGTCAAGGTGGCAGCAGAGGTGGAAAGCGGGCGCAAGTTGAAGGTCCTGCGCACCGACAATGGCGGCGAATTCACTGTCGCGGAGTTTACTGCATACTGCGCTGATGAAGGTATTAAACGGCATTTCAGTGCCCCTTATTCACCGCAACAGAACGGTGTTGTTGAGCGCAGGAACCAAACAGTGGTGGCCATGGCACGAGCTTTGCTCAAGCAACGCCAGATGCCCTCTCGGTTTTGGGGGGAGGCTGTGATGACGGCTGTGCACATTCTGAATCGATCCCCGACGAAGGCGCTGAAGAATGCCACTCCTTATGAGGCGTGGCACGGCCGGGCACCAACAGTCGGCCACCTCAAGGTCTTTGGCTGTGTGGCTTATACCCGGCGGCTTACTCAACCGAAGCTCGATGACCGCGGCGAGGTCGGGCGTGTTTATCGGCGGCTATGCGGAAGGGGCCAAGGCATACCGTATCTATGATCCAAAGTGTCCCGGTAGCGTGCGTGTCGGCCGCGATGTGGTGTTCGACGAAGGGCATTTGCTAGGACTGGGCATCACCGGGCAGTGAGCACACCGTAAGCAATGAGCAAAGGAGTTTATCGTTGAATTCCCATGGGCGGAGGAACTCCTCAAGCGGGAAGTTCAGCGTCGCCTTCACTATCTCCTCCGCCACATCCTGCGTGACGCTGGTTTCTCTCCGGTGAATGCAGGAGAGCTGCAATGAAACAGAGGAGCCCATAGCGGAGGCAGAGGCGCCTGCGTCGCCCAGAACACCTACACCAGCTCCAGCAAGTCCTCAGGTTGAGCATGTGACCCCCCTTGAGGATGATGATGAAAGGGTGGATGCCTACCACGACGATGAAGAACTCCGCTATCGGAAGATTCATGACATTATTGGTGATCAGCCAACCCCTCCGCCGGCGCAGCGGCTGTTTGCAGAACTGAATCTCACCCATTCTGGTGAGCCTACAAGCTATGAAGAAGCCAAAGATGATCCAGATTGGCAAGCAGCGATGAAGGAGGAGCTGAGATCAGTAGAGCGGAATGGGACTTGGGAACTTGTTTCTCCCCGTCCTGGTCACCGTCCAATTTCACTGAAATGGGTGTTTAAGCTGAAGAAGGATGAACATGGAGCTGTAATTAGGCACAAGGCAAGACTTGTGGCCCGTGGTTTTGTGCAGCAGGAAGGAGTTGATTATGAAGATGCTTTTGCACCGGTTGCAAGGATGGAATCAGTGCGTGTTTTGCTTGCCCTAGCAGCACAAGAGGGATGGGCAGTACATCACATGGATGTGAAGTCTGCATTTTTGAATGGAGAACTCCAGGAGGAGGTTTATGTTACACAGCCTCCAGGTTTTGTAGTACCAGGAGAGGAGAAGAAAGTGTACAGGCTGCACAAGGCTCTGTATGGCCTAAGACAGGCTCCTCGGGCATGGAATGCCAAGCTTGACTTGACTCTCAAGCAGATGGGTTTTGAGCAGAATGTGTATGAAGCTGCTATGTACAGGAAGGGATCAGGTGACTCCCTACTGGTAATTGGAGTCTATGTTGATGATTTGATCATCACAGGAGTCAATCAGCAGAAGATTGAAGCTTTCAAGGCAAAGATGAAGCAAACCTTTGAAATGAGTGATTTGGGTCTTCTGTCTTTCTATCTGGGAGTTGAGGTGAGACAATCAGAGGGGAGCATCACTCTGAAGCAAACCCATTATGCTAAGAAGATACTTGAGCTTGGTGGTATGGCAGGTTGTAATCCAGCCACCACACCCATGGAAGAAAGGTTGAAATTGAGCAAGGAAAGCACAGCAAAGGAAGTAAATCCAACTCAGTACAGAAGACTGGTTGGCAGCTTGAGATACCTAGTGCACACAAGACCAGATTTGGCTTTTGCTGTAGGGTATGTTAGCAGATTTCTGGAGAAGCCAACAACTGAACATCTTCAGGCTGTGAAGAGGATCTTGAGATACCTGGCTGGTACTCTAGATCATGGGCTCTGCTACACCAGAACAACAGGCAAAGCAAGGTTTGTGGGTTACAGTGATTCAGATTTGGCTGGAGATGTTGATTCAAGCAAAAGCACAACTGGATGTTTGTTCTTCCTTGGAACCAGCCTGGTCAGCTGGCAGTCTGTCAAACAGAGAGTTGTTGCTCTGTCTAGCTGTGAGGCTGAATATGTGGCGATGACAACAGCTGCAACCCAAGCTTTGTGGTTGTCAAGACTGTTTGCAGATTTGTTGGGAAGAAAAGTTGAGGTGGTGGAACTCAGAGTAGACAATAAGTCTGCTCTGGCTTTGGCAAAGAATCCTGTTTTCCATGACAGGAGCAAGCATATTAGAATCAAGCATCATTTCATCAGAGATTGTGTGGAAGAAGGTAGCATCAAGACAGAGTTCATTCCCACTGCAGATCAGCTCGCTGATATACTGACTAAAGCCTTGGGCAAAACCAAGCTGGAAGAGATGAGGAGCAGGATTGGGATCAAGGAGATCAAGATTAGTTGAAGCAGGTCTTAGGGGGAGAAATGTAGTTAATAAGCCCTGCTTCCTAAGCAATTCCTAGATAACTATGCTAGTTAATTACAGTCATTAAAGACCTTGGGCAGCCCAAGAGGTGTGTACGGCTGCCAAGGCACCTATCTGAATAGCTATGCTCTAGTGAGCTGTTTGTAATCAATGCAATGTCTATCTCTATATATAATCAAGGAGACAGCCTGGGGTGTGTGGCTGTTCAGGCTAATCAAGTCTGTGTTACCTCCAACAACCTTGTCGGAATAATGCTTACTCCAGATGAGGTTCACCCATGGCACATCAGCTTTGTTGTAGAACTTGTGGAGGTGTTTTATGAGAAGAGCATCATTATGCACGGATAGATTAATGACTCCCAAACCTCCTTTGTTTTTCGGTTTCATAACTATGGGCCAGGCAGCCAGGTTTCCTCCTTTTTTGGCTGTGCATTGCCTCTCCAAAGGCATTGCTTACGGGCTCTGTCAATGTTGTCAATCACACCCATTGGCAGCTTGAGCGTGCACATTGCATATGTGGCTGTCGCTGTGAGTACCGAGTTAACCATCTGCAATCTCCCAGAGTACGACAACAAGGATGAGCAAGCAGTCAGCCTTCTTTCGATCTTGTGCATTAGAGGGGTGTAATCTTCAACACGCGGTTTTGTCGTGCCCATGGGCAGACCCAGATACGTGAACGGGAACGTGCCAATCTGGCATCCAAATGATTGCTTCATTGAAGAGAAACATTTCCATTATATCTCCTCCCTCTTTGTTTCTATCTTCAGGCTTCCTTATAAGATTAGAGTCACCTATGGCCAGCCACTCCCTGTCATTTGGCATTTGTATATTCTTAAACCACTCTAGAAAAGACCTCTTCTCATTTGGGGTGCAGGGGGCATAGAGAGTAGTTAGTAACTAATTTTCACTGTTATGATTTGATGAGAATTCCACTGTTATTGTATATTCATTCTGAAAGACTTCCACTCCATTGAAAATCCTCCCTTTCCAACATATTAAGATTCCTCCTGAAGCCTCCAATGATGGCTTGAATGCAAAAGAATCAAAGTGTTGTGGACAAATATTTCTGATGAAAGCAGAATCAAAATGTTCCTTCTTTGTTTCTTGAAGGCACACAATATCTATATACTCATGTATAGAGTAGGTGTGCCGTCTGCATTTTGCAGCCAGGGAGCATTCTTTCAGTTATTGGTGGGAAAGAATCACTGCCAGTTTTTTTCCTCGAATACACAAGAGTATTGCGTATCATTGTATTATAAGAAGATAGAAGTTTTATAATACAAGAGAGGCCGTTCCTGGCCCGGCGATTAAATCACTGCCAGTGTGAATGTCATACGTCTAATGGAGGGCCCAGGAGGGGGCCAGGCTGGCTAGGCCTTGGCTGATCGCGCCACTAGGAGGGGGGCGCGACCAGCGGTGGGGTGGCCTCCCGCCACACCGCCGACATCCAGATCCGGGAGGATAGGATCAGCTGGCTTAGAGGACAAGTTTAGATTACTTAGGGGCTAAGTCTCCCAGGACTACAAATAGAGGGGCTATGTAACCTTTCAATCTTAAGCAAGAATAGAACAGGCCAAGGGCCTTCTATCCCCTCCTCTCCCTTCTAAGCCTTTGTTCTTCTCCCGTGCCTCTCCCTAGCGCCGCCTCTCCCTCCCTCTGCGCCATCTACATCAACCGACCAATCTTCCCCCTGCCCTAGGTGCCGCCCTCTCCCCCATGCCCTGCCATAGTCCTCCCTAGGGCCCCCCGGGAAAGGTCCCTGACAGTTAATGCTCAAGTCAGGAAGGGCCTCAATTCTCTGATCATTCTAGGTGGTTGGAGCTTGTGGATTCATCGGACTAGGTGTGTGTGTTTGATGGAGAGTCTCCATGTGTAGCTAGAGGCTTGCTGCTCACTAGCGAGGATCTGCATGTTTGGGACCTTGCCAGGGCACGAGGTATTGCTTACGTTACCTCTTTGCGCTTGTACACAAAATGTGAGTTAAATATAGGTCGTCATCGAGTTGACAGTTGTAATAGGCGCGGACTTCACCTGATAACTTGGATGGTATGTGTGTGTGTGTGATTTGACCGGTTATGTTGTTTTATGTAATGATTTGATTTAGTTTATATGTGTGGAGATGATTGATCTCATGATTGTTTTCCATTAATATCACTATGCTAATTTTAGATAACATTTGACTAGATAAATATATCCGATGTATTTTCCTTGAGTTTGATCCCTTTTTTATAGTTTGCCAGGTGTGGCTTTTCTTGCTGATAATACTTGCCTCTTCCAAGCAAGTCCTTTCATCTGCAGAGGCAAAGAGAGAGGGTGAAGAAATTGGTACTTGTCGTTTTGATCTGACGAGTGTTGCTACACTGTCATGTGTGGAGCCTGATGGAAACTGGAGGCCACCCTCAGTTTCATGCTGCGAAGCTCTGCTATATGCAATCGATAATTTGCCAGCTAGAAATGAGAGTGGTGCATGCTGCCTGTGTCGCTACTTGAGTAAAAAATACTCAAGTCATGGACTAGCACTAGCAACATCCTATGTTCTGTGCCAGGGAAAGGACAGTCATATTGTCACAGCATGGTCATCACTTGCTCACAATTGCTATAGAGGTACACATTTTTATTCGGTTTTCTATTGAAGCTTAAAGAGTTGTTAACAGCAATGTTAGTGGTTTAGGGTGTTAATCTGTTAATGTTCTGTTGGCTTCTTTTGGCCAGTGTGTCGTCGCCAGGGAAATGCTTCTGCTTATGGTATGGGTACTCCTGTTGTGAAGGTCTATCCGGATGTGGACGTAGAGGGCACACAAAGTGACTTCAAGATGCTACTTTGGATAACAATTATTGGTGCAGCTGTATTTTGTGCCATGTTCCTTGTCCGCTTCTGCTACCACTGGAGGCATAGGCCAATGCCTTCGAGCCTCCAGAATCAGGGATTGCCTAGTGAGATCCGGGATGAACGCAGGCCTTCGGGTAAGAAATCGTCAGCGCACCGCAGGATGTCGTCTTCCCGTGGTTCTCCAAATGGTTGAAGACTGATTGCCGGGTTATAGAACCTTAACAGACTGGTGTTGCAGAGTATATATATTGCGCTGATCACGTTGTGCAGGCGCCATGTCGTGGGCATATAAATTTTGCAGTAGTTTCTCTGTTATTGTTTATCTCTATTATATACAATATAGAATATGGATCTGAGCTTTCTGCAGATGTTAAAACTTAAATTCACTCCCGTCCTTTCATGCTTGAATATGTGTATTTTTTCTCATATATATATGTGCCGAACTAGTCAGTGATCACTATTAGATATGAGGTTGGCACGCCCCTGGCCGCTTGTGCCAACCACCCTTATGGCCAACGGCTCCTTGGAGCTTGGCCTACACGACTCTCGGTCAACTAAACCTCGTTATCAAATGAACAGTGACTTAACTGGTATAAACTTCTCTAGGCCGAACTATATACTATACACGTCCATTTTTCCACGAGCAGGACCTTACTATGGATACAATGATATAAATAAATGGTGTTTTCAACATATATATACTTCATTGTTTTGCTCCGTTTCTTGCATTCGACAGACTTCGCGTCACTTCTTTTCTTGCATCCTAGGACCTATAATATTGTCATGTCTAACACATCTTTAGCACAAATGTTAAGAGTCCTAGACTTATATGCTGTCATCGTAATCACCAAAATTAAAAGATGTGATCATATGTACATGATTGTTACAGCTCTAAAAGAGGCTTATGGGGTGAGGGGGCATGGCACTACCACCAGCAACATAGGGCGCAGCAAGCAACGTCCAACACCTGATAGTGCCAAAATAAAAAAGCACACATCTGCATTTTGACAGCGTTAGTCAACTCATCAGCTGCGACACAAGGCATATATATCTCGTCGTTTGCTGTACTCCGCAGCTCCAATGGTGACCACCATCTGGTTTGAGCCTTGTATGGAGCACCACCGCCTTCGTGCCACTAATAAAGTAGTCCCTGATGAGTTCCTAATCTTTGGGATCATGGTGCTTCCACCAATAAGAGAAGCACCTCATCAATGGTCTCCACTTCAGCTTGTGACACCACCCTATCCACCAGCTCCACAACTTTGAGGAAAAAATCATGGTTCAATTCCTCAAACTCATACCGTGTCAGCGGCTCCGAAAAATCCACGCCATCGACGATCGATTTGAGGGTCACTTGCGCATGATCCTGCATGGTGCATGGCTCAATGTCTTCTTGGCACGCTCGCACGCCGTCTTCAGCTTCTCAAGAGCAGCGCCGTCCTCGGCAATGTCCTTGCCATGCTTGTTCCTGACCAGTTGGACGAAGTGCTCCACGACCCTCCCGTCGAAATCCTGCCCTCCAAAGAACGGGTCATACTGCGAGCTCAAGGCTTGATACACACCGTCCACGAACGTCAAGACGCTCGACTCGGCCGTGCCGCCGCCGCCCTGCAGCATGACGACGTTGCCCTCGTCGCGCAGCTGAGGCCGTAGGTGATGGCAGCCGCGACGGGCTCGCTGAGCGCGACCCTCACGGCCTTGAGGTCGGCAAGCCTGCCGGCGTACACTGCCGCAGACCTGGACACGTCGTCGGAGAACTGCAGCGCCCGGGAGGGTGAGGATGGCGGCCTCCACCCGGTGGCCGAGGTGCGCCTCCGCCGTCTCCTTGAGCTTGGCCAGCACCATTGCCGTAAGAAGCTCGACGCCGATGACGTTCCCGACTACTGCGCCGTCCTTGGTCGTCTTCACCTCGATGTGAAGTTCTACGTTCTCCTCGAGGACCTTGTATGGCAGACTCTCTTTGACGCTCTGAGCAAATTCCCGCTCGAAAACGCGATTGAACCTTTTGCCGAGGAGGCGCTTGAAGCCGGAGACAGCGGCCCCTGGGTTGACGGCGGCGTGGTTCATGGCGTCCTCGCCGCGACGAGGACGGCGCCGTCGTCGGCGAAGGCGACCCAGGAGGGGATGCAGTGGTGGAACATGGTCTGGGTCGTCTCGCCGCTCTCGTAGCCGGCGACGCAGGAGTTAGTGTTGCCCAGGTCGATGGCGACGACTCGCCCCGGCGGGTACGTCGCCGGGTCGGGAGGCCAGTCGTGGTCCAGTAACGCGCTCGCCTTGCCGAGCGCTGCAACTTGAGGGCGACGACATCTTTGCGAGGCCGCATGAGAACAAAAGATTTGATGCCTGGATATGTGGTACGTATATCTATTCTATACGCAGTTTAAACTGTACTTAATAATTTGTTTATTAAGAGAGGGCGCATGCAGCGTAAATATCGAGTCCGTTCCATATTGTTGCTACGGTTGGGTTGATCTTGATCCAACCAATGATCCGACTCGATCTTCTCTACCTTTATAAATCATCGGCTGCAGTAGCTCAGATGCATGCATGTATCCACACCGGTCAGCATTCACGCACATAATTTCCAGCTTCGTAATCATCTGATCTGAAACTGACTGGTTGTGTGTGAGAGAAATATTATTTGACTAGTTTGATGAACAATAAAATGTGAGGGGAGCAGCCGGCCGAACGGCGCCATAAATGAATTGGTTCCTCCCCTGTGTGTGTACAGGTTGTCGATGGTTGTGCCTATAGGGTCAGGTTATTTACCGGTTATGACGTGAATGGATATCGCTTTCACACAACAAGCCACGAGCAAAGTCGGCCCAATCAAAGAACCACAAATACTAGAGTTTTTACACAAGGCTTAAATGGGGTTGAGTATTATGGAACAATTGAAGAAATATACGAACTCATGTTTCATGGTTGCAAACCTCTTAATCCCATTATATTTAAATGCCATTGGTTTGATCCTGAAGTAGTGAGACAGACCCCTAATCTTGGGCTAGTCGAAATTCAACAATCATCCGTCTTACTAGGAGACAATGTCTATCTTATGGCTCAACAGGCCACGCAAGTTTATTATCTCTCATACCCGTGCTAAATCATTGACCGTCTTAAGGGTTGGGATGTTGTGTACAAGGTATCGCCACACGGTAAACTACCTATCCCAAACAATCAAGATTACAACATAGATCCCAACACATATGACAGAGAGTTCTTTTAAGAAGATGGGCTCGGAGGGAGTTTTGAGATAGACTTAACCGAAGCTCAGGGGATGAAAGTAGACAATGAAAGTGGTGCTAACGAGGATGCCGGAGACGAGGTTCAGAATGTGAAGGACTTAGAATTATATAACACCCTAGGTGTTTAGGCTTCCACTAAATTGCATGTCATTTCATAAACATGTGCATTATCTATGTCATCATGTCATTATCATTGAAACCTACATATGCAACATTTTAAATTGTATGTGTTTCATGCTTGATTGCTTAGAGTGGTAGTAGTGCAACGTATGAATGCAACATAAATTTCTCATATCTTGAAGCATGGCAACATGGTAGTAATGTGACAAGTATAGGATAACAACAAGGTCATGCAACATGTGAAATATTGTATTGAAACATATGTATGAATTGCTTGTTTTACTTTCTTTATCACATGTGATCATTAGAAGTGGTATAACAATTTTGTAAAGTGGTTGATCATGGTCTATTACACCTTAGCTATACTTAGGTTACTTGTTGGGACATTGTTCATGTAGATCAAAATGACCAAAATGCCCTCAAGTGCAAGTTTGACTTGAATTGACCCTTGGAGTGTCATCGTTTGACTGAGTCAAAAGTCCAACTTAGAGACTTTGCATGGCTGTGCACTCTTTACCAAAGTTGTAGCTAATTTATCAAGGAACAAAAGTTGTTTTATGACCAGTTCTTCTTTGGTTGCTGCAAGTACTGCCTTCTCCCAGCTGGGGATGAAGACTAGACAGTTGGGCGCGGTCTCTACTAGTTCTCGTACCTGATAATGCTTTTGCGGGACATGACTCGGACTTGGCAATGTATTTGAAAACTCTGATGTTTTGTACCAAATTATGTTGCTTCCGCACACTCAAACTTGGTTTGTAATATTTTATTTGAACTCTGATGGATGTAATCCGAATGCTACTTGTGAAATGTTGTAACGAATGATGTGTTGTGTTGAATCATTACGATCTTGGTTTGTATGTCGAGAGTTGGTTGAAATCCTTCGTGATTTCCGGACTACCGGGATTATGGGAGCTTAAGTACAGGAATTTGATCGCTTCGGTGATTGTTTTTGTACTTACGTTCTTATGATTTGGTCGGTTCTGTTACAGCTGGCATCAGAGCAAGATTCGACACTAAACATGTCATTTGTGTATTTAAAACAAAAGTATTTGTGAAAATCCTAAATTAAATACTAAGTATTGCCAGTGGTCATATCCCTTATGCCCAAATAAGGACTCTTAGGTGGCTTATTAAGTACTAACTTGGGGGTTACTGCTTGTTTCTGTTTCATCGTCCATATGGCGTGCTATTGTATGGATGCCATCCGCTTGGGTGGTAATGTGTGGATCAAATACCTCTACGCTCTGGTAAGTGGGAGTTGTGAGAGCATGACCGTCCAACCGTCGGTCTAGGGGAGAGTAGTTGTGGTTGCTCGCATACTTACATGTTCAATCATGTATCTATGAGAGTACTTAAATGTGGGTATCTCTGACGGGTAGCTGTGATACTAGAGTATATGCATCAGGGGATGTATGTATGAAAGTATTTAGTTTACTGCTTGCTTTTATGCATTTTGGGAAATTACTGGGCTGAAATGAAATTTTCTGCAGGTACACTAACAACGTATCGTTGTAGATCGACTAGCTACCGTATATGAGAGAACGTATGTATGCCACCGTATATTTCGCTAGCCTTTAAATTTTTCTAGGATTGTGAGGACGTACGGATCGTGCATGCATCATGTTCAAGCATACATGGCATATCTTGCATTACTCCCTCCTTTAAAATATGATTGTCCCGACTAATTAAAATTTGTATCCCTTAAATGATTCTCCCCTTACGTTGTAACTTTTGCTACAGATGGTGCGCACAAAGCTCACTGCTCGCAAGTCCGCTAGAGGCAGGGCGCCTCATCACCGTTTAGCTCCTCGTGAGCCCCGTCCTGAGC